TTGCATGTCCCCTAATTTTCCTGTATTCTCGTTAACATAAGTGAGGGAATGACTGAATCTCTGGGGCAGTACGTCCTAGGGGTGGTTCTTCACGTAAAAAGTTGTTGCCTTGGCTGATTTTCTAGACAGTATGTTTTGGTCGTAATATTGAAGTAATGTTTAATTATTGTACCTACGTGCAAGTTTGAACATGGGTTATCTTCACATATAAAAAATACACCCTGCATAACCGAATCATCTAAGCATTTTTTTTCAAAATACTTACTGTTGCTGTTTTAATAGAATGCCTGAAATTAAATAAGTACGATTCACGTGGACATAAAGATACAATATAAATCAATCCACATAAAGGATACTGAAAAATGTAACTTGTAACTAAATGACTTCGCAATATATCAAAAGCCATAGATTAACTAAAATTATCAATAATAAAAGTTTATCATAAGTACAGTATTGTATTGGCCAGCCTCCGTATTGTTTATATTGTATTGTGTCTCAATATATTATTTATAATTAGTTGGTTATTGAATATAAAAATATTAATAAAAACCATACTCAATCAACGCAGGTGTTTCCATTCATACGATGATTGCACCACCTTTGTACACAATATTATTTCATAGGAAGCACATTCATATTTATAATTATATTATCAGCCATATAATTTTATAGAAGTGTAACTTCTTACTTGCATATTCAAGCATCCACTACCCACAGATTTTTTTTAATTAAAAACCTGATTTTTTTAATTCTGTTAATTTTCGAGGTTGAGAGAAATCAGAGGAGCAATAAACATTACATTTTTTGCATTTATTTTTTCAACATTAATATATAATTTGTTTCTTAGTAATAAACATATTATCTGATTTTGTAAGTAAATAAAACTTATTCTATTATTACACAAATGAAAAGATTTACAGTTTCTTATGGCATGACGGAGCAAGAGTAAAAATTGAGCCCTGATCGTTGGGGCAGATTACTTGTTACTTGCTGCATCAGTTTCTAACATAATCACACAATACTTTAGCTCTCAAGTTATTGGGCAAAGTAGATATTAAATCCCCAACGAAACATTTCTAGAAGATAAGATTTTATTAAAATAAGCTTAAAAAAGTTTTTTTTTTTGAAACCTGTGTACTTCAGAATTTTCATTGTTATCCTTTCTATTGAATCTGAGTACCTACAATTTTGACCACCATTTTCAACCCAAATAAAATCTATCATCAGCTATAGAAAGTTTTATGCAAAAATATAGTAATATTAAAGTATGACTTTAACGGCAATGCTGTCCAATGGTTTTTATTTATTTATCAAAGCAACGTTTCGTCCACTTTATAATGAGGCCCTTTTCAAGCACTATAAATTTCATACAAATCATGACAAAATTAATAAAAAGGTAAACAATTATACAATCGCTCGTAGTTTAAAACACTAAAACTTACAATTATATTACAGTATACAGGCTTTACGTGATCGCTTACATTTGTCGAGATCTTACTTAATTGACTGTAGCCTGTAAG